GACACAAAGCCCTAGTACTGAGGCTGAGATAGCAGAAATGAGTCGAATACCTTATGCTTCGGCTGTAGGATCGATCATGTATGCTATGACGTGTACTCGACCTGATGTAGCCTTTGCTTTGAGCATGGTTAGCAGGTATCAGGGGAACCCTGGCAAGGCACACTGGACTGCGGTAAAGAATATCCTCAAGTACCTACGGAGGACTAAGGACTGGGTCCTTACCCTCGGTGGGAGTGAAGACTTGAGAGTTGTAGGGTATAGTGATGCTAGCTTTCAGACTGATAGGGATAATTTCCGCTCTCAGTCAGGCTGGGTCTTTACCTTAAATGGAGGAGCAATTTCTTGGAAGAGTTCCAAGCAAGAGACAGTGGCTGATTCAACTTGCGAATCAGAGTATACAGCAGCTAGCGAGGCAGCAAAGGAGGCGATATGGCTGAAGAACTTCATCGGAGACCTTGGAGTTGTACCAGCTATTAAAGAGCCAATGGAAATTTTCTGTGATAGTGAAAATGCAGTTGCCTTAGCCAAGGAACCAAGGGATCACGGGAGATCCAGACACATCGACAAAAAATACCATTTCATCAGACATCGTATAGAAGGACTCCTCGTGGCAAAGAGGGTATCATCGGATGAGAATCCAACAGATCAAACCTAGATATATGATTTGTTACTTATGAGTTGGTTATGCATTGATTGTACGTTAACGCATTGGTAACTCGATGTTATAAAACGTGCTTTTGTGTATAATTCAATGAGTGGTAGAACAAACATATGAGTCGAAGTTTATCTATTCCTTCTTGGATTAGAAGCTGATATCCGGGCCCCTCGATGATTTTGTTTTGACCTATGTACCGGGCCTGGTCAGAACTAAGTTGATGTGTTCAATTAAGTTCTTTGTCAAACAAATCGGAAATCGGGAAACAAACTGCTGGACAATAAGTAAGACATTGTTCCATGTATTTGTCCGGCTGATATCTAGAACAGAGGATTATATGATCACTTATCTTAAATGGCGTATCATCATCTTCTCAGTTCCGAGAGACCTTGAAAGAGCTATGATTGGCGATCGGTTCCTGAAGTATTGCAGTTATAGTTATTAGACTTATCCAAGTGGGAGACTGTTGGATAAGGTGTCTAAGTCCATAACTATTTCTGGTATGTACTTGACCCGACCCGACATGGTCCATTTGGGTTGCATGGCACCATGCAATTGGATAAACTAAAATGAGAGAAATAACACTTATGGTTTATTAATATATTATAAGTTCTAATATATTTAATAATATTATTTAATTAGTTTGATCAAGAATTAATTTAGAATTAATTAAGTGATCAAAAGATAACTAATTAAATATATGGGTAGATTATGTAAATCTTCCATATCTTATATAGTGGGCTAAGAGGCTCCATGGATGCTCCATGGGAGTTACAAACCCATGGGTCATGGAAATGAAGAGTCATGACACATTAGGGTTTACATGGTGTAACCCTAGATGTGTCAACACTATATAAGAAACCCATTCTCCACCAAAATCGGCTACACATAAGAAACAAGAGGGCTAGGCCGATTTTAGAAGTGTGTATTCTCTCTAAAGTCATTCCAAAAGCATTTGGTGTTGTGTGAAGCATTTGAGGCATCACACTTGGGGTGCTAGGCTCACAAGGTTTCAAGGATCATAAGCAACAACAAGGTAAGTTATTCTATCTTTCATGCAAGTTAAAAATTTGTTCCCCATGTATGCTAGATAGGAATATAACCTTGGAATTCAACTTTGCATGATAATTAGACAAACATAGATCCAAGGTTATTAGGGTTGCATGTACACTTAGGAAGTGTTAGAATGCTCAAAACCCATCACCAAGCCCATGGGGGCTGGAAATTGCTATTGGATTGCATATGAACTTATGGATTGTTGTAGGGTGAATATTGGGCTTGTGGTGGTCTAGTACCGAGGAGCCCAACTGAGTTATGAGAAGGTGGCCTGCTCCAATCTGAGCCGATTTGTCATTAAGGACTGAAGAAGGGTTTTGGAGCCTGTTGAGCGAAAAAGGAGGAATCAGCGAGAATTAAGGCTGCGATAGAAGATGCGCCGATGGAGAGATGTAGACCCAGACGTAGCGCTGGTGACCAACGTTCTGTCCGACGCCGACAAATGGCTGACAGATGGCGACAGATGGAGGTTGGTAACAACGATTATTCCCTCTTCCTTGATTGGAATTGCGACGGTAAGTATTCCCTCCTCCCCGATTTGAATTGTTGGTGGAAGTATGGTGAATCTGAGGAGAAGAAGAGTGATTATCATTAGATGGAGAAGTAACCCGGTTGGTAAGAAGCCTCTGTTCTTCAACTAGCTGCATAAACCTAGCTTCATCAAAGGTTGGAAGAGATTTGCTATGTAGAATAATCCCAGCAGTGGTTTCAAACTTACTGGATAATCCATTGATGGCATGGATAACAATGTTCTTTTCTTTAACCTTCTCACATATTCCTTCCAACAAATCTGCAAGTTTCTTAATTTTGGTGAAGTAGTCATGAACCTAAAGTTCCCCTATAGTGATCGATCATAGCTCGCTTTCAAGTTGCATAGCAGTGGCATCTTTGTTTTCGTGGAATAGGGATTAAATATTACACCAAATATTCCTTTTTGTGGCATTGATGGAGTAGACAGAAGTGATGAGAGATTGGGAGATGGAGCCGAACAACCACAGTTTCATGAGTTGGTCAAATTCTTGCCAATTTGAATCAGTGGGTGTTGTTGTGGGTAGATCATAGGTGTTGTCAATGTGATCACGAACACCAAAGGCGATGCAGTGGGCTAAGAAGAGATCGCTCCAAAGGTCGTAGTTGTGAGTGTTGAGATCAAGAACTAATGGAACGTATGTTTAATGATGTTGATAACATAGGCTTTTGCATGAGGACTAGGCGGCTGGAGAAGAGCATCTCCGGCCAATAGGGTTTGACAGGGAAGAAGACGGGAGCAAAAATGGTTAGGATTAGATTATGGAAGAAAAGAGAGAGATTTTAGGAGGTTTTTGAGAAAGGCTCTGATACCATGTAGAATGATATCATTCTCATTGATTTGGTAAACGAACACAATATCCTACATATAGAAGATACATAGGGCCACTTGGGCCTGAAGCCTATAGATATACAAATACACGGGCTTATACAAAATGTGTACACTAACAAAAACAAAGGATAAGAATAACTTATCAACATCGAAAAAAACTTTTAATGAGTTAATTGGGGCATTTTTGAGCCAATCAATTCAGGTAGATTTAAACATGGAAGAATCCACTTAAAATTACTACAAGAAAAATGGATGGTCAAAAAGGCTGAAGGACTAAAGAATAGAGAGAGGAATATGTCCCAAAATCCAGGGAGTCGACTGAAGTTCGGCAGAAGAAAACAGGGTGATGCAAGAAGGCAACGAAAAACTAACTAATTTTTACATGGTTGGATTTCCAGGAGGAACCAATAAGTCTAAACTATGGAAAATATTTTCAAAATTTGTACAAGTAGCAGATGTATATTTTGGGTAGAAGAAAGACTCCAGGAAGATGAACTTTTCCTTCGTGAGATGCAGGGGAGTGGAAGATGAAAAAACTTTGGATGATAGAGTGCAAGGTACCAAATGTAGATATGTCACACTCCATATCAACCTAACATTACACAAAAGGAAACCAAATCAAACAATAAACCAGTATTTTCAACAACAAAGGGTTATCCTGCTGCCACCACCCCCAAATGCAACCAATAGATCAACTAACCACGTTGGCGAAGGAAAGAGATATCAACATTCGTTCACTCAAGTATTGGGTGGACTCAGAGGGACCCTGATGTCCGACATCCCTACTATACACCTAAATCCCAGAACGTATATGAAGGTCTGGATTTTCAAAAGAACCTTGACTGGTGAAGCCTATAGGATTGACCATATTAGGAACCTTTCTACTAGGGAAAATGACTTAGAAGCCCAACGAAGTTTGCAAACCATTCAAAAAACCCCAATTATGTTTTGTCTGTTTAAGAAAACCCTAGGAACTTAACTTTTGTCTAAAAAAGCCCAACTAACTTATATTTTTGTTAAATTCTTGTTAAGGTCAAATGGCTAATGAAAGTTAATGAATGACATGGCTTATGGTGTGGAATTAAATATCGAGAAATAATTGTAAGACCAATGGAGTTTCGAAACCGTTCAAAAAATCCCAATTCGACGGTTTCGAACAAACAAAACATGATTGGGCTTTTTGAACGATTTTGAAACTTCGTTGGTGTTACAAGTCATTTTCCTGATATTTAATTCCACATTATAAGCTATGTCATTCGCTGACCGTAATAGGAATTGAATAAAAGTGTAAGTTAATTGAGCTTTTTTAGACAAAAGGTTAGGTTTGTTGGGTTTTCTTGAACATACAAAACATAATTGAGGTTTTTTGAACTGTTTGGAAACTTCGTTGAGCTTACAAGTCATTTTCCCTTTCGACTACTATGCTAATGAACGAGGATATCAAATACTTGGGTGGCTTGGACATAGCTTTAGGTTTTGGTAATCGACACTAGAGAGAGAATTCCATGAGGATAACAATAGGTGGAAGGAATGGGTTAAATGGATGATTCTTGCGGAAGATAAGGAGTTACCACACGAAAGAACTGCGTAGTTAAAAATTCTAGGTTTACCATTACGTCTGTTCGATGAGGATAACTTCTCAAAAATTGCGGGGAGGTTTGGAAGAGTTATCTCCCCCTTCAATAAAACCAGAAGAGATTACTCGATGGGAAAGGTAGAAGTTCTAACGTCACAACGAAGATGGATGAACAAGGAAGTAACAATTATGGTGGCAGGGAAGCTATACACTATAGAGGTGGTTGAAATTACTGATGATTGGTCCCCCTTCCACCCTGCCTCGTTTGACAAAGTGGAAGAAGACTCGGATGAAGAAGACAATGAGTCGGCAGATAAAAAAACGACGAGGAAGATGGCGTGTCAGATATCTGGATGGGTAAAGATAACCTAGACATGGAAGAAGGAGATGCCACCCAAAATCAAGAGCAAGATTGGCCGACACTGACTTCCTCAGTGACATTGGAACTCGGTCCGACAATTGATGAAACATTTATGACATTTAATGCAAAAAAGAAGATTCCCAAAAATTTAGAGACGATTGATATCTACCACACAAATATGGATGATGGAGTGACTCATAAGAACATGATACAGCTGGAAATCGGAGATAATAATAATGACAATGAAACTATGGAAAAAGTCAGCTGAAGCCTAAGGTGGTAGGCTCGTTATCCAATCCTTTTGGGCTCTCTCAAATTTTGGCCCGATTGGGATGTTTTGGGAATATTCCTAAACCCATTCAACTCAAATTTAAATAATCTGGGTCACACCTCGAATTCGCTTTCGTGAACATATTCAAATACGATTGGACCAATGATTAAAAAAATAAAAAGGAATTATAATAGCCCTCAATTGGCTTCTGGTCAAGTGTGCCCTATACACAATCATGTTATGCCTCAAAGTGCTCCACCTATGATGTCTCTATCAACAATGATGAAGGTAACATGGTTGAAGTTTCCTCGTTGGATCTTAATCGAAACCTGGACACAATCTTACATGAAGATTCAACGAAAGACAATGGTGAATGATTAAGTTCCAATTCTGCAGAGGTAATTTAACTCGCTGTAATTGGGGTGGAGATTGGATTCCAAATCGATGCGAGCAACAAGGTTCTCGCTCAAGTTGTTGGAGAAAATATAGTGCCCAACTGTGGTCAATGAATTGTTTTCCTCTTAATGTTAGAGGCATTGGTGTTGGTGCTAATGTCAATTGGATTAGGAGGCTAAAAGTGAAACAGAGGTTGAATTTCGTTGGTCTTCAAGAAACTTAACTCTTCGAGTAGTAGCATGATCCTTGTAGATGATCGAACAGGTCATCAATCCTCGAGAGTAGATATCAGCCATCAATCCTCGAGAGTAGATGGCGAGTTTATTCAACTCTCGATAGTCGATGCACATCCTAAACGATCCATCCTTCTTTTTGACAAACAATACCGGAGCTCCCTAGGGTGAGAAGCTTGGTCGGATAAAGCCTTTGTCAAGAAGTTCTTGGAGTTGACTGGAGAGTTCTTGCATTTCCGAAGGAGCCAGACGATAAGAAGATCTTTCCACTAATGCTGCACCCGATACTAGGTCGATTCGGAATTTGACCTGTGTGACTAGAGGTACTCTAGGAAAATCTTATGGAAATATGTTCGGGCAGTCGCACAATTATGGAATGTCTTTGATTTCCTTACCCTTTCCTTGCATATCCACCACATGGGCTAAAAAAGCGAAGCATCTCTTCTGCAAACACTTTCTTGCTTTCGTGTGAGAGTCGAATCTTAGATTCTTTCCTGATTTATCTTCATAAATCACAAGCGCTTTTTTGTTTGGTAAGGGTAGTCGAACGACCTTTTCATAACATAAAAACTCCACTCGATGAGGTGATAACCAATCCATTCTAATGATTACATCGAAACTTCCAATTGTAATAGGCATTAGGTTGACGTGAAAGACATGGTTATTCAGGGTGAGAAGGCAATTAGTGAGTATTTCTAGAGTGCTTTCTATCTAACCGTCTGCTACTTCTACTATGTAAGCTTCGTTAAGTTTGCAAGATTTATGGTTTATCATGCTTCTAAGATTATGGGAAATAAAGCTTCTATCTGGACCAATATCAAATAATACAGAAGCATAAATATTGTTGATAAGAAATGTACCAGTAACCACACTCGGTTCCTGACGAGCATCTCCAGCACCTATCACAAATTCTCTTTAATTCTTAAGTTTCAGGAAGTACTTCTTAAAATGCCCTGGTTGATTGCATTCGAAGCAGTTATGGCTTCCTCCTGAAGTAGTAGTTGAGTTCATAGTGGTTGGGGTCCTTCTGCGGAACTTAGCCGTGTGATCTCTCATGTTCTAGTGGTTACAAACCATATCGTTGCAATTTCCGAGATGATGGAAATTGCACTTAGTGCAATCGGGTAAAGTCCTATTGTAGGACTTGGATGGGGTGGGAGTGTTTTTGATTGCGACATAAAAAGCCAAAAGATCTATCTTTGGTTTGTGGCGCTTGAAGTTCCTTTTTTTTACTTTCCATGGGACTTTAGTTTCATACTCCTTATCAGGTTCTTTTGCATTTGTGGGGTCATGGTAGCCTGACAGATACACTGCTCAATCAATTGAGAGGTGTTGGGTGATTTTTATGTGATTCTCACTTGAAATAAGTTGAGTATTGATTTCCATTTTATAAAAAAACATTATAAGAATGTTTCAGGTTGGAAAGATCCTGAAGATTCAACAAGTATTTGAAGAATCAAATGTTTGAGCACTTTAAGTTGACATAGAGCACTTGCTGAACATGGAGAACTTGAAGCTTATGTGGAGCACTTGAAGAAATAAACATGGATCATCATCATCTCAGATGGCATATCTAGATCATATGTGGAGCATCAAGATATTGGTCGATCATCTGGAATATTGATGGCTCATCAAAAACATTGTTGGCTCATCTGCAACTCTGTGGCTCAACAAGATGTTGATGGCTCAACATGAATACTTTGTGGCTCATCTCAAGTCAATGGATTAACATGTTCACGTTGATGGCTCAACAAGATTGCAGATGACACATCATGTACAATGATGGCACTTCCAAGTACTCAATAGCACATGCAGTTCGTCCATGGTCCATCATGAACACATGGCTGTACATCTTTAAGTTCAAGACACATTCCAACATTTAATAAACAACTCAACTTGATCAATGACACTTTTGGAAGTTAATGACATCTTATAAGACAATGTAGCAACATGATGCTTATGTTTCTCATCACACTTTCAATGTTGATCAAGAACGCTCAAAAGATATGAAGACTCAAAACTTGGATGGAACCCTAACATAACACTAATGAAATTGGAATATTCTATCCATTCTCCGTTAAGTAGGGCAAAGGTGTCAACTAATTACTAAGTCATAATGACGTGTCAACCCCTGATTGGTCAAGCCATGTCATGAGCTTTTCCAAAGTCTATAAATAGGTTACTTGGGCTGAATTATAAAGTTGCTCAATTCTAATCATTCTGCTCATTCCCTGCTCTTCTTGCTCATTTATGCTCAATTGCTGTTTAGACTAGTTTTCAGGGAGCAACTTGAGAGTTTTATTGTGTTTTGCATTCAAACACTTGTAAGTGAATTGCGATGAATATGAGACACATTTGAATCATTGATCTTAATCATAAAAACGTTTTTTCGTTAACTTGCTTGATTCACAACTCTTTATTTTCCACATTACTTGCCACTTGACGATTCTAAAACTTTGTTTCAGTATTTTCAACATTTGGACTCTTCAAGTCTAAGTTTACTGAATTTTATCTTTTCTTTAGCTGGTATTAGAGCTCGTGTGATTGACTATGATACTTGAAATTTTTTTCACATAAATATTTTTAAAAAAAGTTTCAAACTAGTATCACTTGTTCTCAATGGAAAGTTTCAGTTAAAACCAAAATGTTCTCTATTCAGTTTTTTGTTGCAAACAATCTTGGAGTAGAAAATCATGCATCTATCCTTTGTACCAATTGAATACACTTCATGGGCAGATCATATGAAGTACTACTTGGAAGGTCATGAATCTGCAATCTGGACCTTCATTTCCACGGGAAAACATAATACAAAATTTCTAAAGGATATCAGAGTTCCTGAAGCCGACGTCTCTCCTGAAACCTCCAAAGTTATTTATGGATCTATTTCAACTGCTACTTAACTTTGTGAGAGAAAAATCAAGAAGTTTGAGGCTAAGGCAATGCAAGAGCTCATATCTTGAATTCCTCATGTCATCTATGAGAAACTTCCTGATGAAGATAAGAGTTCAGCCTTCATCGTCTGGAATGCACTCAAGAAACAATTTGAGGGAAGTGAAAAGATTCTTTCAAACAGGAAGAAAGCCACATTGATAGATATGGACAACTTCAAGATGTTACCTCATGAAACTCTCTTTGATGCATACTCCAGGTACAACATTATTGTCAACAGGGTGAAGAAGCTCAAAGGTGAAAGATCGCAAGAGGATTTCAATATGAAATTTTTGAACAATCTATATCCTAAATGGGATACAATGCACATCATCATACTGCAAACTACAACCAATTTCCCAAGGACTTGCCTTGGTAAATTCAACACCCATGGCAAATCATTCACAAAACTTGATTTCACATCATAATAAAATCCCAAACCACTTTGCTGATCAGTTTGCCAACCAAGGATATGGAGCGTATCATTATCAAAATTCGAGTATGGCTCAATAGTGCAAACAGAATCCTTACATGCCAACTCAACAACCTCTTCAAATAGTAAATGGGTACATGGAAAATCATCAAGCTTTCATTGAAACTACAATGGAATCTTCTCAAATCAATGAGGAAAATGAGTATGAAGAATGCTTGGCACTCCTAACCAATTTCAATCCAAACTTCAAGAAGTTTGTGAACAATCCAACTGGGAACTTCAGAGCACAAAGTTATCAGCAACCCCAACACTATCATCAGAACTTTGGAAACTTCCAAGGAGGAAACAAAAATCAACAAAGCTTCAACTCTTAGAATTTAAATTCTTAAAGTTACAACTCTCAGAGGACAAACACAAGGGTTCATGATAATAAGTCGAAATCGTATTATGATAGCGAAGTAATTAGGTGTCACAAATATCTTGGTAAGAATCATTTTTCCAAGGATTGAAAAATGAAGACCAAGAAGGTCAAAGATGAAGCATACTACCTTTAGAAATTTGAAGAACTCAAGAAGAAGTCAAAGGACAAAGCTTTCACAGTCATGGAGACTCCAAATGTGGAAGTCTGGGAAACATATAATGATGTGGATCAAGTAAAAGAAACAGAAGCCTACAAAAACTACTTTTTTTTATTGCTGATGATGAAAAAGAGTCTTTTCCTCTCCATCAACAAATTGTTGAGAAGGTACATTTCATGCTTCATGATAATCATTTAACTATTGAGCCTTTTCTTGATGACATTGACCATATTTCTGAAATAGTCAAAGAATATGTCACTAATGCTGAATATGACCGCCACTCAGTATAGATTTGAAGAATTGAGATATAATATGGCTAAGTTAGAGAATGACCTTGCAATCAAAACTGAGGCACATCTTATGTCAGTTGAAGAATATGAAATTGTATTGAATCAACGTGACATTATTGCAAAAGACAATTGTGAGATG